CCAGGGGCGGTGAGAATTGACTAGAGCCAGGGCGTGATGAGACGTTCTCGTCAAAACGCGGGCAGAAACGCGACTCCTGGCATTGTTTGGTGGGACACCCAGACGCAGATGACAAGCAGCAGGAGCAGCAGCGAGAGACAGCCCTGGTCTGTTACCTTCCTTCTGTCAAAAGCGAGCCTCTTCCCGCCCGTCTCTACGCACTCCTTTCATTCTCACTTTTTCCCTCTCTATTTTCGCCTTTGTTCAACAATCATTCCGTTGCAAGATGGCGTCTCGTCCCCAGAACATTGGCATCAAGGCCATTGAAATTTACTTTCCTAGCCAGGTACGTCGCCGTTGCTGGTTTGTCGCCCTTGTGGCTGTGGCCCCGCGCCTCGCGACCGCCCGTTGAAAAAAGCGCAAGAATGGAACTCCAAAACTGCGAATGATGCCTCTGTTCCGCCCAACTTGCTAACCGACGATCAATTCGGTTTGCACATCTGCAGTATGTCGAGCAAAGCGAACTCGAGAAGTTCGATGGCGTCGCTGCCGGGAAATACACCATTGGCCTCGGCCAGACCAAGATGAGCTTCTGTGATGATCGTGAGGGTGAGTAGTGCGACCCCTGCTGTGCCCCTTATTTGCATCTTCTGTGTGCCCGAGTCAAGACCAGTCCGGAACACAGTCCGGAACGGCCCGCGACACATGTTCAGTCTGAAGAAGGGGCTGACATGAACCTCTTTGGCATACAGACATCTACTCCTTAGCCCTCACTGTTACCTCGAATTTGCTCAAGAAGAACAACATCGACCCCAACTCGGTCGGGCGCCTCGAGGTCGGCACTGAGACCATCTTGGACAAGTCCAAATCGGTCAAGTCGGTTCTGATGCAGCTCTTTGGCGACAACACCAACTTGGAAGGCATTGACACCGTCAATGCTTGCTACGGCGGTACCAATGCCCTGTTCAACAGTGTCAACTGGGTTGAGTCCTCGGCCTGGGATGGCCGTGATGCCATCGTTGTGGCCGGTGACATTGCGCTATATGCCAAAGGCAATGCTCGCCCTACGGGCGGCGCTGGTGCTGTGGCCATGCTCGTTGGACCTAACGCCCCCGTCGTCATGGAACCCGGACTGCGAGGCACCTACATGCAACATGCCTACGACTTTTACAAGCCGGACCTCACCAGCGAGTATCCTTATGTCGATGGCCATTACTCCATCAATTGCTATACCAAGGCTCTCGATGCTGCCTACCGTGACTACTGCAAACGTGAGGCCAAGCTCACTAGCGGTACTAATGGTACCGACGCCAGCAAGACTCCTCTGGATCGCTTTGACTACCTTGCTTTCCATGCTCCCACTTGCAAGCTCGTACAAAAGTCGTATGCTCGCCTGATGTACCACGACTACCTCGCCAACCCTGACGCTCCTGCTTTCGCTGACGTGCCTGCCGAGCTGCGTGACATGGATTACGAGAAGTCCCTGACCGACAGAGTTGTTGAGAAGACTTTCATGGGTCTCACCAAGCAGAAGTTCCAGGATCGCGTCCATCCTGCTATCCAGGTTGCCACCATGTGCGGCAACATGTACTGCGGCAGTGTCTGGGGCGGTGTCGCCAGTCTGCTCTCCTTCGTTGACCCCAAGGCTCTTGAGGGCAAGCGCCTCGGTGTTTTCTCGTATGGCTCCGGACTGGCCGCCAGCTTCATGTCGTTCCGCGTCAACGGCAACGTCGAGTCCATTCACAAGAACCTAAACATTCCCGCCCGCTTGGAGGCACGCCGTGCTGTCTCTCCTGAGACCTTTGATGCCGTAAGTTGGCTCGCATTTTTAGTCCATGTCGCATATGATAAAGGCCACCTTGCTGACTTTTCTTCGCTACTCAGATGTGTGAGCTTCGTCACCAGGCTCATCTTAAGAAGGACTATACCCCCAAGGGCGACCCTTCAACCATCAGCCCCGACACTTACTATCTCACCAAGGTTGACGAAATGTTCAAGCGCGAGTACAATGTCCAGGCATAACCCCGCACGCACGCAGAGACGACATAACGAACTACAAAGAAGGAGCATAGCTATATCGCCTCTACACCGTGTTTTTAATTGCCAAAGCGGTGCATGGAATTGCCTCCGACCGCGGGCGATCGAAGACACTGCAGAGGGGAAATAGCGCAGCCAGTCAGAATGGCTGATTCATGACGATTTGCATACAGCATGGACTTATACGACCTGTGTTGTTGGGATATGACAAGCCAGCACATGCAGTGCTCTTCTAATCAAGCTGCGGATGATACGTGGCGCATAACGAGCATGGACATTCGCATGGCTTGTGTAGGATTTATATACAGTCGGACCTTTAATGGAGAAGAATGCATTGATTGCGAGAGGGAAAAAAGGCTTTGTAACTTTGGGTGGAACGTCTTATAGACAGCGCGAAGGACAAACTGGGCTTTCAGACCCATTTCTTGGCCAATAAAGAAGAGTAGAAATAGAAATTGATGAAAAAGACGTGAAAAGATCAAAATTAAAAACGGGTTTCTTACTTATTGTACATTGGGAGACGTCATCGCCTCGTATCTAATGGTCCATGGTATCATCTATTCCAGCAGTACAGAGAAGAGAGGGCAAAAGGAGTCATGAGCAAATCCAAAAAGAAAAAAATACAGGACAAGAGAAAAAAGGACGAGAGCAAAGACTCATTTCTCGCCCTTGTACTTCCACTCCGCACGACGATGCAAAAGGTAATCCCTACTCTTTATAGCCTGCCATATCCCATACAACCCCCCAACAGGCCACCTACTCTTGAGAGACTGCTTCGCCTTCTTGCGCTCCTCCCGCGCGGCATCAATGTCAATACGCACCTTATCATGCACGGTAGGCAGCGTAGTAGCATGGTACTTTTGACGCAAGTCCTCATACCACCCGCGGTTCTGGTCATAGACGCGCCAGAACTCTTCCTGGTTGTAATACGTGTGTGCATAGAGCCACTTCCTGCCGCCGAGCTCCACGAGTTTATCCTCCAGGGCGCGGTTCTTAGACACGAAGTCATCGTGGGAGGGTGGTCCCCATCCCCAGAGCCCAATGTTGAGAATATCCTTGGGAACGACTTCCTTGGAGGCGGAGCTCCCATCAGAGGCGGCGGCGGCGGCGGCGGCGGCGGCGGCGTCGAGCTTCTTGGGTTCTGTTTCTCCCGTGTACGGATGGAATGTAGGCGGGAGGGTCTGCTTGAGGGGACAGAGCCAGAGGGGCCAGATGTTGAAGGTATCGGTGGTGTAGTCGACGAATTCCTCGGCTTTGGAATACGGCAGCGCGAGGTCTTGGACGACGAAGCGGGCGGATTCGCCGGAGGCGTGGAGAGCGCGATAGAGCATGCGGGTGTGCATGAAGTCGTCGAGGAACCAGCGGGTGAAGTTGTTGAAGGGGAGGTATTTGAAGTAGGTCCAGCCTTGGGCGCCGACCCAGAAGCCTGCGCGGTCGTACCGGAAGAGGTATTCGGCTAGGGGGATGTATTCGACAAAGGTAGAAGACGAGCTGGTGCCGGTGTCGGTGCCGGTGGATGTGGACGTAGAAGAGGATGGGGAAGGTGCTGTTGCCCCGGGGTATAGCTTCTCCGTCTTATCCTGCACATGGAGATAGAACCACGGATCCCGCGCATGACTAAACGTCTGTACTGTACTACCCTCGGGCTTCTCATCCGTCATTGTCCCCGTAACCACCACTCCATGGTCCTTGGAGAATAGAATCCCATCCACGTAATCATTTTCTGGATTCGCTGTCTCGGAGCGCACTTTTTCTACAGCCTCGGCTACACTCCCCGTGCGGTGGTATGTCGTCCGCACAAATTTCTTGGCCTCCACGAGGCGTAGCTCCATGAGGGTCGTGATGCCTAGGGTGCCTACCGCGCCGGCAGCTCCCTGGAAGAGATCTGGCTTCTCGTCCCTCGAAGCGGTTACCACGTCGCCGTTTCCGAGGACCATTTCGATGGAGTTGATTGTGTCGTTGAAATAGCCGTGCTTGAAGGAGCTGCTTTCGCCGGCTGTGCCCGCGTAGCCGCCCCCGGCGGTGATGCCGGGGAATTCCATCACCACGGGGGGGACGAGGCCGTGTCGGAGAGTCGATTCTACGAGCCGGTCCATGGGTACGTTTGGTTCCACGAGGGCGGTGCGCGCGGCGCGGTCTACGCCTACGACGTTGGAGAGGGAGCTGATGTCCACGATGCGGGCGCCGGGACGGGGACGCGGTCGGGTGCTGTTGGTTGAGCCGTGGAAGATGCGGTAGCTTTCTTTCTGTTCGAAGAAGCTGCGCACGGCGGCGGCAATCTTGCCCACGGCCTGCTTGTGGCGCTCCATGTTGGTGGTTTCGACGTTGGGGTGCAAGTGTGAACTTGAAGTTTGTGACGATGGGCAATGTGGTGGTGACGTGGATGTGGGGGGTGGAGAAGGGCTGCAGAGGCCAGGATTGTCTTGCAATCTTGGAGTCATGGCAATTGGTGTTGGGATCGTCAATTGGATTCTTTCAGAGCTTTTCGTTTCGAATGGCTCGCTGATGAGGTGAAGAAAGAAAGAAAGAAAAGAAGAGGAATAGTAAATTCATGGCACCTTCTACGTGAACCAGACGCGGGATCCCATTGCCCAACATGTCTTGGTGGCCGCTCGTTACGTGTAACGTCTCACACATGAGATGGCAACTCAACAAATAGGTATGTATGTGCAACAGCTTAGTAGCCCGCGTGATACGTGTGTAAGCGATCGGCAAAGACAAGAAAGTTTTCGGACAGAAAGAACCGTCATCAGTGATCACAATGCAGTGTACTCCGTCCGTATTACCGATCCATAACAAAAGCCACATTCTCATGATGTATACGGAAATGGAGATGTCACGAGTAGAACGCTGAAGAAATAGAAAGGCCCACGCTAACAATTGAGAAAGAAAAGGGAGCGACAGAAGAAGAATGATAACATGGCATGCCAAAAAAAAGACAAAGCAATCGTGCACATTGTGCGTGTGAAGAAAAAATAAACCGTCTCCTCCGGAAAGGCTCGAACTTTCAACCTCCTGATTAACAGTCAGACGCGCTAGCCAATTGCGCCACAGAGGAATTGGTTGACGATTGACAACTAATTACGGTATAACAATGCTCATCGCGTGGCAACACAGCCCCTCTTGCTCGCTTGTGCGCGGTTCAATCTTATCTTGTGATCGAATTATTTCGGAAGCGTGGACTTGGTGATGGATAACGGAGCCGTGTGCTGAGCCTGTCACCTGTGCTTGTGTCGTCCAGTCGAGCATACCCTAGATCAAGATGCAAAAAAACTAAAAGATCATATAAAATGAAATCGAACGTCGTAACATTCTATTCTCTGCATTTTTGCCATTGTGTGGAAACTCCTGCCATGCTGAGAAGATATACAATCAACAAAAATAGATCAGTAAATTGGTGTGCCCCCTACCATGCCTGGTGTAAGCTTCACACCTTACGCCTATCATGTGTTCACCCACTAGACGATCTCCAAATCTTGTGTCCACTGCATTAAAACATGCTCTACATAAGTCTAAACCCCGGTATTTACACTAGAACTAATTGCTACAGGTTCCTACTAAGGCCAATTTCGCGTCTATCTACAGTTTGGCATCCGCTGGTATCCAAGTCGTGGCGTCGGCCACCGTATCGACAACCCTCTTCCTGAATGTCTCGTCTGACACGTCACAGAGGTCCTCAAACTGCAAGGGCGTCTCCTCCATCTTCTTAGCCGACACCGTCAGCGCTCTCGAGACCAGACTTCCCGGATCCTCCACAGCCTGCTTCATGAAGTCCGCCCACGCTCCCATACAGCGCTTCGACTCGGCCAAATGGGTCAGCACTAGGGCAAAGCAATGCGGCATGGCCCCATATTCCTCAAACACTACTTTCACGCCGTCTCTCTCCAGCTTCTGCGCCAAAAACTTGGCCTCGTATGCCAGTCGTTCCCATCCCGCACAGAAATACACGAGCGGGAAGCCAGCCCAGTCTCTTCTCATGACGGGGGACACGAGCGGATGTGTGATTATGTCGTCGGCTGCGTACATGAACTTGCGGGGCGGGTTGGCGGGCCAGATGCTGCAGGGCTCGACACCTCGGCGACCAAGGTCCGCTAGAGGGCCGAGGTAGTCGAAGGCCTCTGGGATTTTACCATAGTATGGCTGCGAGCTGTGCGCGATGTCCAGCCAGGGGGAGTTGCAGGCCACGGCGGCTGGGACTGGGATTTCGCGCTCTTCACCGTGCCACATGATGCGCTCGCCCGTGCGGTTCAAGTCAACGAGAACCTGAATCAAGGCCATCGCCAAGTTGCCTCCGGCGCTACAAGGAAGAAAATAAATTGTCAGTCGCAGGTAAATACATATTCAGCATGACTTCAGCCCGGCTGCGGGAACGAGGAGCCTGAGGGTGGATAGCGCAAGAGTAGACGACGTCGCGAAAGAAAAGACATACCTATCACCGGCAATGACAATATGCTCCGGCTTGACAGCATCATGGAATGACCCTGGCGGCGGGTAAAGCAGCGTAAGGTATGCCACTAGACAGTCCAAGAGCGACGCCGGGAAAGGGTTCTGCGGCACCAGCCTATATCGCACAGAGAAAGCCCGCCCACCAGTAAACTTGGCCAGCCTCTTGACCATAGGCCGATGTGTAGAAGGATCCATCATGGCATGCGCTCCTCCGTGGAAATAGAGCATAGTCGTCGGACCCGTCATCTCCCCGACGAGCTTATCGTACTTCTCCTTGTCTGATAGATCGGGTAGTGGCTCGTCGCTGCTCGCATCGGCCCTGTACCCCGTCCACTCGCCATAGACGGGCGTGAGGTCGGGCACATTGATGACGGGCGCAGGCACGTCGGGATTGTTCGACAGCTCAATAGCTTTCCTCAAGGCTTCTCTCACGGCCTCGGGCTCTGGCGGCGTAGGACTCGTATATGGACTGATCCACATGCGCCCCTTGATGGGCGCGTCGGACATTGTGCCGGCCTGGACGTCGGAAAAGCGGCTGGGCTTGCCATCTTTGGGCGCAATGTAGGCTCGCAGAGCAGCGACTGTTAATGCGCTGCGCAGGGTGTTGTATGGCGACGTTTCGGAAAGGTTGAGGGTGTGGGAGAGGGAGACTCGTGTGAGAAGGGGGATATAGGAGAGGCCGAGCCAGAACAGCGACGATGCGGATCGGCGTTTCGGCGTCCCGAGCGAAGATTGCTGGACTGGCGACGAGGAGCTCATGACAACCGTGGACTCGTGGTCATAGTCAAACCTCCATGAACGGCTGATGTGGAAGGTCTGGTGTGCAAGGGCGACGGATGTGCCTCCTGCTTATAAGTAGAGGATGACATGCTTGATTTTATTTTGGTACAAAGTACATTCGCCGTCCCTTGAGTTGCCAACTTGCCTGTCAACAAGCTGATTAGATACATAGGTACATACATGTAACATACCTACCTAGTGCGTTACTGTGCGGCACGCAGACTGATCTAGACTAGATACGGACTAGTTGTAGGATACGCAGACATTCCCGTCCCGACTCCCGATCTACGGAGAGTTTATTATTACGTGGCTGGGAGCCTGGGACAAGGCAGGCTTTGGACGCCTCGCAGAGTCGCAGTATGTAGCTTAATATCCGGGCCATCGTGGCTTCTGTCGTCCTGACTCCCAACGCGTCTAAATTGTAGCCTTGTTCACTCCATCAGCCTTGCTTTGCAGCATGTGCCGTAGCCCTGCCCCGTACAACAGTCTTACAAATCATTCCCATTCCGTGTGTTACGCCAAAGCCGCTTACTCATAAGATACAAAGTCTTACAAAACACCATTCAGCTGAAGGGGGCTTTCATCCCCGCCTACGGCATCCGCCTGTCGTTAATTCATTGCGTCTCTGTAATATTCCATCCTCGGTGATATTTGCTGAGCTCCGCCAGGCCGTGGCCTTTCTGACCATTGACTACGTATTAGTTTCGCCTTTTCTGCATGCATTCAAGGAAGACTCCTAAACTCCTCCGCTCTCGGCATCCTTTGCGGCAGAGGAGCTTGATGCTACAGCCGCCATTTGCCATGCGGGAATGGACGCTTTGGTGGCAGGACCTCCACCCGAGATTGTAGAGGGCCTATTCGCAGTGCCCTGTGCGGTGTTCTTGGATGGTTCTGTAGATATCGACGGCGTGTTGGGGCTATCAGCAGGAGATTCCACCGTGGGCGCAGTTGGCGTTGTCGATCGGTTGCTGGCGATGTTAGATCCAGGCTGACGTGGGTAGGTACTGGTCGTGCCGGATGAGGAGCCTGCCGCCATTCTCTGCGAATAAAGCGTCTTTAGGCTAGTAAGTTCCGTGTTAATTTCGGACAATCTGCTGTCCGTGAGACTCTTTTGGTTGTCCATGGCTTTGGGGATTGCAAGCTGCAGTCCTTGGACTTCATCACGAATGCGCTGGACGTCGTCCTCTCTGCGGCGGTTAGCCGTCTTAAGGTCCGCCATGACACTGTTCAGCTCCTCGATAGCCGTGTCCAGCTTCTCAGTTCTCTGCTGCTCAGCCTCTTTAAGAACTTCGGTGTCCTTGACTAGCTGTTCCACCAGAGAAAAAGCCTTGTCAAATTGTTCCTCTATCGACTTCTTGTCCTGTTCCAGTCTTTCGGGGGTCGGAGGTGCGATCAGAGGATATACGTAGCGCTGTTTATGCATATCAGCAAAACAAACGACGTCATCAGGTCAGGTTTTGTGTAGTGCGGGCTTCCGGAAAGTACCTTGCTCAAAGAGTACAGGCCATAGCCAACTCCGCTGACGACGGTAGCCATGATGAACCAGTCTCGCCAGTCTCTGCGCGGAACTGGCGGTTGGGGCTGCCATGCTTGTTGTGCATATGGTGGATAGTAATGCTGAGGAGGCCCTGAAGGAGGAGGAGGACTGTATTGCGCGGTTGGAGGGGCAGGACCGCCGATACGTGCGAGGGATACGCTGATCTCTTCTTCCGTCAGGTTTTTAGATCGGAGGAAAGATACTTTGTTTTCGACCGTGGACGAGGCAACGCTGGGATCTTGCAAGACTGTGCGCTATGTTAGTGGAAGAGAGTGGACGACATCATAGAGAAGCACGATTCGGGCGCATTTGGAAATCCGGCATCAACTAACACTGTGCCTGCAATGTACGTTAGCTAACTTCCTGTTCCTGGATCTTGTGACCGAGGCCGTGGATCAAACGAAACCAGAATACTTACGGCAGAGGCCACCAGATCCTCGCGAATCGCCATGGCAGAAGCAGCCGGATTTCTCACGACAGCATCACCACACGAAAGTGATGTTCGAAGTCGCGATGCTGGGTGTGATTGTCTCGCGGGAGTGGGAGATCCTGCAACCTGACGTCTGGAAGACCTGCTGCGTTCGGCACGAATGGAGATGGCGTTGACGCTTGTGGTTGCTTGGAGCCGAGGCAGCTCAATTGCTTGCCGCAATGGCGATGCGAGAGACCCACTTTCTTTGTGGCGTCACGAATCATGACCCATTGAGTTGGTCGACGAAGTCGCTGGCTCACGTGCAAGCGGGGAATTGTCATGAAGCCCCATATGTGCGTACGGTCAGATCAGTGGCCAATCATGCGTCTGTATGCGCCAGTTTGTTTACTTTCCACGGGGCAACCTAACTTCGGCCACTTGCTGAACGACCCGCATGAATACTATCATCAAGATTTGAAGTGAAACATCATCCCAGCTGCTTTCCCAGTTTCGAACGAGAAGACACAATCGGAGTCGCCTGTATCATCGTGCTATTGAATTCACAAATAGCCCCGGACGCTTCCACCTGCTGGCTCGACATCAGCGCCCGACTTTACACCATGTCCCACGATACGGGCACGTGGAGTGTTCGCAGACCGCGAGAGGTAAGCCCAGCTCTCTGGTAGCCAAGAGCGCGAAACGCCACCGTACTGTCTGTCGCATCGCTACTTAGAACTGACCCAGTCGTCGCGCAGACACTTGGAGGCATTGTTCCAAATACGGGAATCCCACCGCCTGGCTCGACGATGAAGCGCACGAATTCCAACGTCAATGGCCATGCTCGCTCGGTATCGGGGTCTAGGCAATCCCTCGCCATGCCAAG